GACCTACCCATGCTGAGGTTGTAGTGGAAGCCGAGTCGGTAGGACACCCTGGCGATGGTCTGCTCCATCTCGGCGCCGATCTCGAAGATCTCCACCTCCTTGAGCGCGCGCTCCCGGTCCTTGCGCCAGGCTGGGCACAGCTCGTCGAATTCCAGCAGGGGGTCGTTCTCGACGGGCCGGGGCAGCTCCACCTCGTTGCTGAACAGGCCAGACGCGAAGGCCTCGGCGCTCTCGTGCGTGCGCTGGCCAGACGCGTACCGGAACTAGGGGAGACAATCAACAAAATCATTCATCTTCTTTATTTTCTCTCTATTGGAGGTAAATTGGAAGTTGTCGAGTTGTCTTACCCTGAAGCGGGACTCCGAGTAGGTGGTGTTGAGCAGTTCGGGCAGCCTGCGCTTGAGGCGGCGCGCCAGGAACGAGAGGTCCGCCTGGCCCTGGCCGGTGAGCCAGTGCGCGCGGTCCTCCGTCACGTTGAGGTGCCAGCGGGCCAGCGCCGCCAGGTCCTCGGCGCACAGGCGGCCACCTGCAGCAGCACGGGGAGGGGGGACAAGGTGAGGACCGGGTGCACTCTAAATTCTAAGGACAGTTTTGGTAACTTACTTCTGTGAGCATAACTGAGTACAATATTGTAACTAATGAGACACATTTTAGTATTTAGCTAGTTATAATATTCTGTCTGAACTTGGTCATGCACACTGAAGCCCGCGGTGCAGTTACAATAATCGTCCCCAGGCATTTAGAGTGTCCATGGCGCGCCGACATGATGCAAGATGTCCAAGGCAACACGTTAATATGCATGTGAGCGGTTTACTTTGAGCTCTAGTTTGCGATCAATACGACGTCTCTTGATCCGAGAGTCTGAGCTCCATAGTTCGAACTTGAACCCTAATTTTGGACAAAGTTGAAACTTTGAAAGTTGTTCTGAAATAGTCGAGACTAAAATCGTTGTTCAAATTCACCTGGTTAGCACGGAGGTGCCGAGAAATATATTTCCTATATATGAGCTTATATGAGTGTGTATATGAGCCGAAAATAGTTTTATCCGAAGTTTTGTCTGAAATTTATGAACACTTCGTTCCTAGTTTCGTACAGGACATTTCGAGCTCTGCCATACAAACAAATCGAGAGAGAAAACATTGAAACACGGCGGAAGGAAGGGTCAAAGCATTCATTCAGTCGAAAAAATTAAGAATTTATTTAGAGAATGCAGTGAATTTCGTCCGGAGTGTGGAACACTAACCGTGTTTAAATTTGATAACATCCGCGTCACCAATGGCACTTGACCGCAACCCGTTGGTTGAAGCAGACCGGGTCGACGCGCCAGGACGGCAGGCAGCACAACATGCATATCCGCGCGTTGGGCTGCCCGCCCATCAGGCGCAACGCCGCGCCCACCGTTAGAAGACGGCACGGGCAGCTAAATAATTTAGCTCCGGGTTATGTTAAAATCCAAATATGTTTTTTACTTGGGAAATAATTGATTGCTAATGAAAAAAAAAGCTGATGTTGAATTTTCGTTAGAAAACAATGAGAGATAAAAACTGAAATAGCAACCCTATGGGCATAAACTCGTTGAGCACACTTGGTTTTACCGTGGAGGACAAACGTTATTGCCATCGAGCGAAAAATGTTGACCGATTCAACGTGGACCAACCAACCATCCAGTGGATCCACGTCGAATCCCGATGGCTTTTGCCCATGGGGAATAGACTCGGTAGTCGTAAAAGATGTCTAATCATAGAAAATGGACGAGCACTGGCCAACCACCAACCGTACGGCCCAGCAGATGGCCCCAGGGTCCCGTCGCATGGAGGGCATGGCCTAGCTATAAGGAGGGGAGGGGCCCGAACCCGTTTCCTTGTCAGGGGAGAGAAGGGCCGTTTTTACGTTTTGCGATCGACAAAACAGGGAGCAAGGCGGCCCAGTCCGAGCCGAGCGCGACGTGCAACTCGCGGAGTTCACAGCAAGGCGTTAAAAAATAAAAGCAGCAGCTTGTCGGCTCGGTGCGGAGCAGCGGTATGTTGTAAATGTCTCCCATCCGGGGGGAGGGCCGCGTACGGCAGGGTCATGCAGTCACTCACTGTGGCGGTCGTGGTTGCGCCTGATCAGGTCCTTGAGGCCCTCCAGGCTCGCCATCCTCTTGATCAGGGCCTCGTCCGGGAAGCGGGTGGCGGGCGTGCCCATGGTCCAGACGGTGAGGGGGCGGCAGTCTGAGGGTGCACGAGCAAGGCAGCAAGGACATGCCGTTAGAGACCAGAAGGTGCAAGAGAGGGGGGAGGCGGCAGGCAGGGGCGGGGGGTGCGTCCAGGACAGAGAGGGGCTTCATCACAGAGGGGCGCGCGCAGCGGGCGCAGCGCCGGCATGCCCGTGACCGTGGTCGTCATGCCGCGTGCTCCACTCACGCCGCCGCGGCCAGGGGCTGCCCCTGCCGCGCGTCCTGCTGGCGCGCTGCCCGGCCTGGCCGCCGTCGTCCTGGACGGCGTTCTGCAGGATGTTGTCCTGCAGCGGCGGCAGCGTCTCGTACAGGCGCACCAGCGTGGCCCGGTCCGGGTAGCTGGTCCCCGCGCTCGCCATCATCCACACCGTGCTGGGCCGGCACCCTGCGGCACGCGCGGCCGCCGCGGCGACGCATGAGTCAGAATCATTTCAGGGAACCTGGCGAAGAGATCTTCGGTCCACGCAGCTGCTGCAGCTGAGCTGCCCCGCGGGGCCAGAAGGATCGATTTACTGCCAACCGACAGGCAGTAGGAATGAAAAACGAGGCTTGCCCGGCAAACAACGCCGCGGGATGTTTTGGGTTTCGCGTCCGGTCCGGTCCGGCCGCGTGTAGGTGTTGGCTGCAGTGGTGGCCGGATGCTCTGCTGCAGGCTGCTGCTGCAGACCTGCAAGCCCCAAAGCCTCCCTGCTGAAACTCGAGACAGGTGCCGCACCGGAGAGGAGAAACTGATGCGTCTCTGCGCCTCCTCCTCGCTTGCGACTTGGATTATGGTTTAAAGAAAATAGAAATGGCAAGAAAACCTACCCTTGGGGAAACAAATATTATAAGCACTTTATATTTTGCAGGATTTAGCAGGATGTTGTTGCCTGCACAGAGACATGTTTTTACGAATTTTTAATTTTTATCAGTCGGTGAATCATGCAAATAAGTACACTCACACGGCACGTTCTGTGGCGACTCCTTGTGGTCGTACACGCGCTCGTAGGCCGTCTTGGAGCCGAAGTATAGGTAGGGGAACTGGTCCTTGGCCAGGCAGTAGTCGGCCTGGTCGTCGGCCTGGGCGTGCGCATCCCGCACCAGGGCGGCGCCCAGCAGCAGCAGCAACAGCGCGGGCCACATCTGCGAGCAAGAGGACAAGGTGGTCGTCAACAATGATCATCACGTCAATTATTTACAGAGACTGCGGCGTACTACTACTGCGTCCGAACCGTGTAGCGCAGCAGAAAGCGAAGAGTGGTCGTGTCCGGTCAAGGCATCGCCTTGATGGGAGCGTAATCAAATCAATCGCGACTCGTCCAGCTGATCGATGTGGAGCCAACGCCAGCGGCGCCACCCTAACCTTAGTAAAACACGATCCACCTGGCGGCCCGACTCGACCCCCGCGGGCGGGTGCCCCGCCAGCCCCCCGGGAGCAGCATGCTTCCCCCCCGTTTGCCCTCTGTGCTCCTCCCCTCCCCTCACCTCCCCACCACTGCTGCCCCCAAACGACGACCCAGCGCCCAGCGTGACATTTCCGGCGAGGCTAGGTCAGCTGGTGAGGGGCAGCCAGAGACAAATAGACTTGAACTTCGGTGGAGTTTGGGGGGATTTTTCATTTCGCATTCTAAAAGAGAAACTTTATATTGTAAGAAAATAAACAAAAACGAGTTCTATGAAAATTTGATTAGCTCCATTGTAATGAACGTGGATGAGATTTGATGCACTTCCGTCAACTTCGATGAACTTCGGCTTCAAACGAAGTTCCTCAACTCCTCGATGACGAATGCGAGTACACTGCTTCAACCAACCACGAACTTACTTTCAGTGTATGAAGTTGGACTTTAGTGTATTTTTTTTTTCTTTTCCCTTTTCCATGTTTTCTTTTCCCTTGGGGGCAGTGGAGGGCACGCTGTGCGCCAGAGCCGGGCACCGCCCCGCTGCGCCTGAAGGGTGGGCGGCTGGGTCAGGGCTGCGCCTGGGTGGGTGGCCCGGGGTTGCGGGCAAGGACTCACAGGGCGTGGTTGGGCGGGAGCAGACACGACCAAAGACTGCTCCTTTTCAAAGGGAATTAATGAGAACGAGGAAGTGAAAAGCGCGCGGGCGCGATAAACAGGTGCGCACTGCGACACTCCAAAGTCTAATCAGGAGACCCTACTATGATGTTTTCGAAGTGGAGTGGGTGCCCTCGCCGGGGACTGCTTGAGAGAGCGTCGTCCTCCTCGGCGCGTCCTTTTGTTTTTTCGGACGGTCGGCATGATGGCGTGAGACCACCGTTAAGGTTGAGGCCGAAGCACTGCGCGCGCCGTTCGGCTCAGGTGAGCGACATGAGATAACCTCCGGACGCCTTTGGGGACACGGGCGAGGACCGAGCGTGTTTGCCTCGTAGTCGCGCTGTTTTGCAGCCCCGCCCCGCCCCGCCCCGCCCCGCCGCCGCCGCGCCGCGCCCGGGCCGGTGGCCGCTTGCTGTGCCGTCGCTGGCGGTGCGGCGGGCGGCAAGCGACCCCCGAGAAACGCCCGACGAAAAGAGGGTAGGCAGCCCTGGCGGGAGGGCCTGTCGTGCTCGGTTGCCTATCCCGCACTTCGCAGGCGCCTCAGGCAGAAAGACAATATATTGGGTCGGCGCTTGTTGTGCGTTCATTTTCGAGTCAACAGAAGCCAATCCCCTGAGCGCGTCATGGGTCTCACTCGTCTCACTCATCCCGGTTCCCAGATTCGATCCAGCAGGCGCGCGTGGGTGGCTAGAACCGTCGTCCTTCCTTGCTACTGTCGCGACGCCCGCCCGTGCTCCCGCGCTGTGTGACTCACCGGCGCGATCCGCCGCGCATCGCAGCGGGATGACGCTCCCCGCTCCTTCGCCATGACCCAACGAGTGCGAGAGAGAGAGACACGAGCAGTGCGCCAGGTCATGCTGCTGTTGTAAGACAATGCAAGAGAGAGGGAGACAAGGTAGCTGACGAGCAGGGCATGACCCCCGCAGCAGCGGCAGCTGGCCGCCCACACGTGAATATGGGAGGGGGGGGGGGTGATCCTCTGAGCAGTAGTAGCAGCAGGCTCCTGTTGATAGCGGCGCCGCCAGGAAGACACGCGCCTCACCTGCTCGCGTCACCCGCCGCGGCGCCCGCCTCCTGAGTCACGGCCGGTCACGGTCACAGAGGAGGGCGGCGCCGAGGAGCCGGGCGCACGTGTGTGGCCGGGCGGACGGGCGGGCGGGCGGGCGGCGCTCCAGTTCACCGCGCCAACCACCACCCGCTGAGGTTTCAATAAAGAA